GGATTATGAGAGCCTTTTAGCTCCTATATTTGCCCACACAGAACAGAGTATTCAACTTCATTTGTTATTCTAAAGATGCTTTATATTGTTTAGATGTCATGGGGATGTATTTTACATGTTTGCCCCATTCACATATGTAGCTGAGGATGTGTGTGTCTAACAGTAAAAGCAGTGTGCAGGAAAGAAGTGCTGAACACTTTCCTATCTTAAGTACACCTTAAGATCCTGCAGTCTTTTGCTCCAAGCAGTTTCTCCCTTACGCCTCTATTACTAGAAGTGAGCTGAGAATAAAGAGCATGGAGCAATGGATTGAGATGAAGTAATATGCAGGAGAGGAAGAGGTTCAGTCCACTTGTTTTAAAGACCTCTCCCATCTGCTTCTATCCGATGACTCATGTGTGAACCAATAACTTCAGCTGATTTAAGACCAGACTTTTTTGTGGGGGTGGGCATATTTTGTGGCTCAGTATTTCCCATGTTTCTTAGATTTCCCAGCCCTGGTTTAGAGGATTGTACATTCAGCACCCTCAGCAAATTAAAAGCCCTAGATGAGATACATAAATACATTGTTTGCATTATACTGAGAAAACCACATTAATGAAACATGTATTGAAAAACATAGCTATGGCCATCAAATTAATTACAGTTTCTTCTTTTTTAGTGCTACCAAAGTTTGAAGTCTTTCTAGCAACACCTCTGTTTTATTCTCAGAAAGACATGAATTTCACTGGTACTGTCACAGCAAAGTAGGTAAAAAGTGAATCTTACATCATTTGAGATCTATATGCATTGTACACCTGTGTTAGTCCTTAGCTAGTTCCTAACCATGCAAAGGTGGGATTTAATTCAATTATTGATTCCTTCTTTGCAGACGTAACAGTTGATCATTATTTTTTAAAAGTATATTTTTCTGAGTACAATTTTAAAAATAAACAAAACCTAATAATAATAATTTTAAAATGAGAAATTACTGTGGCTATAAAGAGAAAACTGGTAATTTAAGCCCTTCTCCCAGAACAGGACAATTAAAGAATGTCATTGACCCCACAAGTGAACTTGAAGAAAGTTGTTAGGGCAGAAGCTGTAAGAAAGAAGGTGTTAACTGCAGGAACACTTGTGTGGCACCATTATGACTGGTGAATTTCATATGAGTTAAAATTCCAATAAATTTCCAGATAACCTGAGGTGTTTCTTATGTCCACTCTGTCTCTGTATGTATAGTAGGGATACTTGTAGTTATTGTTGTTAATAAAGTAAAAGATACATTTTATTAGTGATGGGCAATAATTTCACTGATTCGGTGTAATTTGCAGTATGCCCAGATCCAGAAAGGGTATGATCCCCAGATTTAAAGTTACGTGCATGGTATGTAGGATCAGATTCAAGTGGATACTTGTAGGCTTATGAGATTGAATCAACCTGTCTTCAGAAACTTGTTTTGAAATGATGGTTTTTTTGTTAACTGTTTCAGGTACACATATGGAAAACCTGTGCAAGGAAAAGTAACTGTTGATTGTTCCCAGTTCTATGGAAGGAAGAAAAATATCACTAAGACATTTGAGGTGAGCTGCAGTTAGCACCTGACATGTGTTTATGTTGGGCAGGGGGGGGGGGGAATAACACTTCTTCAGCCACCTCAAGGATTTCTTTGTGGAAATAATAAATCTTTTAAATTGCAATCTAGTGCCTTAGTTTTTTTTACCCAGCCGCCTACCTATGCTACCCTGTAGCTTATGCTTATCACTCTGTCATCCAAATGATTAAGCAGTTCTCTAATGATCTGTGCGGTGGCCATTACGTAGTAGTCCCCCACTGAAGAAAGCAGTGTGTAATGTAGAGATGTCCCAGTTCCAGCTCCCCTAGAGTTTTCAGCTAAAGACAAAGTTAGAGTAATGTGCAGGTAATCTGTAAGCAGTAATAGCAGATCTCCTGAGCCAGAAACATTCATGGGGTCAGGGCATGACACATGACCTACTCTTGCTTGTTGGAGTAAGAAGGCAGTAGCGACTGGTATGGTTGATCTGCCTGCAGTTCCCTCCTTTGGCAGGTGGTTGGTGCTGCTTAGGCTCACTATCAGCCCAACTTCTGATGTTTCCAAGATCCACTGCAGGTTCATGTTTTGCCAATATTTCGTTTTATTTATCATTTCCATTTCCAAATTGTGCTCTGCTAATGCTACCTTAACCCTTAAGGGAAATGCAGTGATACAAATATGGTCTGGTTCTCTCTCCCCCATGCCTGCTTATTCCTTTCTGAAGATAAAACAAATTGATTAGTTTTTCTTCTTCTTCTTGTTTTCAGATTAATGGATCTGTGAACTTTACATTTGACATTCTAGAGGTGGAAAATATAACTTACAACAATTGGGGTTATTCTGCGCATCACCAGATGCCGGTGGAAATTACAGCTGTGGTTACAGAAGCACTTACAGGTATGCAGTTTTATATGGGGTTTTCTTTAAGGCAGGTATGGGGTACCTTTGGCCTTTGAGGCTCACAATCAAGCCCTCATCACTCCCTAGGGCATGCCCCCTTCCCCTTTTTTGCCTTGTAGGAGGATACTTTCCCCTGCATATCCAGCTTCCTGCAAATCCTTGCTACATGCTGAGAAAGGAGCTGCCTTTCACAGCAGTATAAACTGTTAGTAGTTGGAATCACGAGAAATACGGACTCTGCAAGTGTTATTAGGAAGGAATGATTATGCATGTGACTTTTTTTAAACCCTCCAAATATTCTAACAGGAATCTCCCAAAATGCAAGTGCTACTGTATTTCCAAAGCATCATGACTACATATTAGAATTTTCTGAGTATCCAGCAGTTCTCAAACCTAGTCTGAACTTCATAGCTACGGTGAGTTATTCTACTACTCTTTATATTATCAGTATCATTCTAGAAAAAAGGCAAAAGCAGTATTATGGAGACAAGAGTTGGGTTTTTAAAAACACTGCATATATTGATATTGTCTTTTAAAGAAATTAATTACAGTTTCTTTTGAGTCTCTTGGTGTATTAGTTATTGGTGGTTGCAAGCTGTCAGCACTAAATGAACTGTTGGCATTCCATATTTAGGATTTGAGTATAAATCTTAGTTGTTGTAAATCATGGTTTTGAAAGTTTTGGTTTGATTTATGGACATGCCTTTTACTATTTTCAGCTGAAAGTAACAAAAATTGACAACAGTCTGCTGTCGCCTGATGAGCGAAGGAATGACATTGTGATCACTGCCACATCCATAGGGAATCCTGCTTACTACCCATATGGTGATGGGGGTGAATCACAGGCAAATGAGGCATCTCAGAACCTAATCTACCATGTGCCAGAAAATGGGATTATTGAGATTGAGTTTCCGGTTCAAGTTAATACAACAACGCTGCATGTTAAGGTATGCTTTTTCTGTGTTTCCCCGTCAAAATACGTAAATACTTAATCAGAAGATGAAAAGAATCTTAGTATGGAAACTTGTTCTTATACCTACCTGAGTATTCAAAGTGCTTCAGATGCATCTCAATATCCCTTACAACAGCCCTGCCTAGTACTATGAAACTCCATGCCAGGGGAGTTCTTCCAGGCTTAGGTTTACCCTGTTGAGATTTTTAGGGAGTCAGTTAAAACATACCTCTGCTAGCTTTTTGTGAAAACTGAGCATATTTATTATTATTCTCTATTTTAGCTATTTATTTTGATATGCCAGGACCTATCCCTGATGCATCTCTTACCCTGCCTTTATCATTGTTGGGATGAGCAGTGCTGCATCCTCAGTGTGCTCTCCCCACAATGTCACTTCTGGTCCAAAGGGTTCACCTTTTGGTTGGACTGCAACACCTCAGTTCACTGGAGAGGTTGCCTCATTGACCTCTACTCACAAAGGCCAAATCCTGCAAGATGCAGGAGGACATTCATTTCAAGTGTTATCCTTTTAGACTTCATAGGAGGTGTGCCCACCAGTGGTTCAGGCAACTATTATGAACCATAGTTAAGCTTCTTCTCCACTCATATGTGAATAAGAGGAAGAGAGTGAAATTTTTCGCTTTCAGTTTTTGCTAAACTATTATTTCTCATCACAAAATTCTGGGAATTATTCTACCTCTAGTTAGTTAAAGCAAACCAGGATGAAACCTTGGCTTGATATCCTGGGTTGTTAACTACCTAGAGTTAAGATAAACAACAGTTCCTCAGATTCATATGGGATGAGAAACTGTGGTTTAGTGAAAATTAAAGCAGAAGCTTCACCACAACTTGTTAGAAATCATCTAACCTAGGGAGGGGCCTAATTTGGCCTGTCAGGCCTCTGAATTCTCTCCTAGTACTTTTCCTAGCTGTGTCCCTTCATCTTTTTGTTCCTCCTCAAATAGCCTGACCCATTTTGCAAAACATTGAGCTGACAAAGTAGATGCTCTGTTCTTCTTTGCCAGCCTGATTGGCTTCCTTACTGGATATAGATAGAAGATTCTTCCTCTGACAGTATGGAGCCACTCTTCAGTCTATCCATGGCTAGGACAGTAGAGTAGACTGACTAAGCAGATGCAGGATGTTCTACTGCATCAGTCCAATTTAGCTGGCAATGGAGAAAGAGAGAGTTCGTCTGTTTCATCATGGGTGTTTGCTATGTTTCATCTCTGGGCACAGAAACGTCTTCTGAGTGGAAAAAGAAAATCAAAAGTTCTGTGATGCTATCTTGAGACTAATTTAAATGATAATTTAAGAAAATTGCTTCAGGAACTATTGGATTTTCCATCTCTACCTTTTTGCATTCTGATGGAGTGCAGCTTTTCTTTTTCTTTCATTCTAACCATTAAAGAGATTGATATCTTCATTTATTTATGTATGTTTCTTCAATTAGGAGAGGCACTAATTATACAATTTGTGAAACATTAATTGAACTTTATCATTTTCCTACAATGTGTTGAATGTCCCCCCACCCGCTTTTTTTTTTACAGGCCAAATTTCTAGAGAGCGAAACTCTTATATATATATGGTACATTCTACTCTACCACCATGACTTTTCTCCAGATTAAAAAAGCAAGTCAGGATGTAAAGGTAACTTCTGCTTTTCAATATCGATGAGTTTCAAAATTCACTAATAATGCACTACATCATGATAGGGAATTAGCATGTTCATTCAAGTTGTGTTATTTTTTCCCCTAGGTTGGAACTCCATTTGAGCTGAATCTTCAAAGCAACAAGCCGATGAAAGAGATCAGTTATATGGTATTTTAAAAAATTATTTTATATTTATTGTGTTGAATTTTACCACAAACACGGGAAAGACAGCATAGGCAATAAGGAGGATTTTGCTACTCAAAAATTATAATTTCCAGATAGGACTATGAGCAAGCGTTTAAAAATGCCAATTGTACGTCCTTGTATCATTTGGGTATGCTAATCAGAGAGGTGAGACTGGTTGTAGCTTTTCTACTGAATGTAAATGTACTGGTATTGTAGCACCCTGCTTGTGGTTAACGCTTAGCTGGAATGAAATATTCAACGCAGCAACAGAGAAATTAAAATATATTTATTTGTCAGACAAATAAATGAGAGGCACAGTGGTATATGGTTACCAAGCTCTGGCCTGGCCTCCTGCCATTATGGCCAGCACTTATATTCCCTTAATCCAGCCCCCTTTGCTCCTCCTGTGGCTGCCTCTGTCCCATCAGCCTGGTTGAAATTCCTATTGGCTGATTGGTATACCAATCACAAAAAGATATACCATATCCTCCTGTCCTTATATGGAACACAAAGAGCTATATATTGTTACATCTATAAATGACAAATAAGTATTAATATATCTTACATGTGTCTCAACAAGGAATCTTAATTACCAGCTCACCTCTTGCCCTCCTTGCCCTATGCCTTCTAAAACAAATGGTTAATCTTAAATTTTTATCTTAAACATATGTCAAGGATCTTGAGTTTCACATCAACATTGAAAGATCTCCTTCATTTGAAGGTTTCTAAACAAATGTCTGACAACTTATATATCAGGATTGCTCGGATGGCGTCTTCTTGTCTGGCAGGGGGCTGGGCTCAATGGCCCCTGTGGTCTATTCCAACTCTAGGACTCTATGATTCTATGAAATAAGAATCTAACATCTAAATTTGTTACTTTCTAAATCCTTTGCATAGTTACATTTAAACCAATATATTTAAGCTAATAATTTCATACATTATCATAGGTAACCTTTTAAAAGAATAAAGCTTCTCAAAGTAGAAAGGAAGGAACTCAGTAAAAAGGAACACAGTAAAAACCGTTTTAAAAGAAGCCTCTTCAGTTTACACCCCCCCTTCAGCCAGTTGCTTGTTTTCCATGTGCTCTTGACCTTTTGTCCTGTGGCTCAAGTTTAAGGCACATGGTTTTATTTTACTGTTTACTAACTCTTAATTATGTTGGGTCCGTAACCTTGCTCTTTAACCTGTAATTCCCCCCTTTCACGACTTTGAGAATTGTTTTCTGCTATAAATCAAGGGGCCCCTTGTCTAGGAGGAAAACATTGCCAAGGTTCTCTATAAACAGCTGGCCTTCTTGCCTGGCATGAAACATTTGAAAATCTAAGCCCATTTAATTTAGGAACCTGATCAAAATATAAGCCAATATATGCCTTGATTAAAAATGCAGTCTATATTCAGATGCCACAGTATACCTGTGTTTGCTGCAATGTGTGGCATACAATAAAATGGATTTTTTTATTAGGCATTTATGCCTGTGGGCCCAGAACTATTCACGTGACACCTGTATAGTTGTTATTATACTGTTATGAGTTTGTGGGTGCTAGACCTCTATTATCCCCGGATCCAGTGGGTGTTAGAATTTAATTAAGGCTTGGAGGTGTTAAAACTGGGTGTCAGACCTGTGTGTTTTAGGTTGTATGCCAAACGCTTCTAATCCCCTTGAATCAACAAGTGTTGAAAGCCAGTTAAGCTAAGCTTAGCTTCCTGCGTTAAGTTAATAGGATGGGTAATGGGCCATTAAGATAACAAAGCATCAGAGGAACTTGGTGTGAGACGGTAAGAAGGTGGGTCCCCTTTCCCTCAACTGTTAATGCCAGATCTTAGAGGGGTTAGAGCTAGGAGTTATGTGACCTGGAAGTAAAGCAGGAAGCAGAGCAATGTTTTGAGAGCACCATGTTTTATGTCTGTCTGGATCCAAGACTGCGGCTATGGAAGAAGGCTCTTGGGGTGACTATGCTGCGAACTCCTCTGTCATAGACTTAGGTTGTATATATGTGTAAATAAACTATATACCATAAAGAAACCACAGTCTCCACTGTGCCTCATTTCCAAAAGGAAACACAGACCTTGGATAAGCGCTCCTGGAACCCTTGGAATCTCGCACCGCATGGAGATTAGGCTGGCGTGCAACAATACTTTAGGTGCTTTTATAAATAACAGATGTTGAATTGTGAGATGTGTTACAATTTCAGCTGGAACTCAGCTGACAGGAAGATCAATTAACTTTCCCCCCTCCTCATATAGGTGGTATCTAAAGAACAAATTGTGGCTGCGGGTAAAGTAAACGTTGCAGAATTCTTTTTAACACCAGAGCATTCTTGGGCTCCTACAGCATGCATAATTGCCTACTATGTGAGTGACG